GAGGAGCCTTACTGCTGGAAGATGAGCCACTGACTGCAAACTCACTCCTGCAGCATCTTCTGTCCTCTCCGGCTGGTTGTGCAAAGCGGGACTCTCAACTCCACAACTAGCTGTAACTCAGCATCATGCACAGCAAAGACTAGCAGATATTTTGCCCTGAAGAAGGGCTACAGTACAAACTTGTAATAGCTTCTTAAGCACCTTTGGTTTATCAGAGGCCCTCTCTTCAGTTATGTGCAGCTATCGGCCAGGGGCTGGGGGAGAAGCTGCATCCAAGAACTTGCAGAGTTTTATGGACAGGTATTTCTGTGGTTTCAAAGAGCAATTTGGTTTTCACTTAAACTAGGCGGCCTATGCTACGCAGATCTTAGCCTTAACTAAACGGGGACTGCTTTGGGGCCAGTCTAAATGCAAAGTCAAACACACTTGAGAAAGGGTGCATGCTCTACAACCCAGGGCAGGAAAATCCAGGTCTCCCACTTCCTTTCTTGTTGGTAGTGGTCATAAAGTGTTAATCTGCATTCCAGCTGGGCTATGGTGAACAGCAGGACACTGACACCAGCCTTGTGTCCGGCCTGCTGGTCTTCTCCGACAAGTTAATGCATAGGAAACAGAGGTCTGTGTGTAAGGCAGACTCTGATGTTTGTTGTCTTGGATGCTAATCTTGTAGCCACAGTGCTCACGGCTGGAGCTGTGGGTGCCAAAATCTCTCCCTTCTACAGCAGGTAGCAGAGTTCAGAGAGGTAGTACACAGCACCTGACTATTGCTGAAAGGAGCAGAAAGGAAGTACAGTAAGTACATGGTTAAGTGTATTTGTCTTACAGTACAGTAAATAAAACATTTACCATCTTCTGCCAATATATTTGCTTGAGCAAAGTAAAGGCCCCCTATATCTGATTAAATATGTCCTCGTGGGGTGCTTATTTCCAACTACAGCTTACCTAACTATTAATTGTTATCTACTAAATAAGTGTGAGCAGCAAAAGTCAAAGTCTGGTTTCCTCTGCAACTTGTTTGTAATAGCAGCATCTCTAAGGTCTGAACTTGTGCTGTGACTTTCCCCCGAAGCAGGGCTGCAAGTTCTTTGCCCAACTACATAATTTTAGGATTTGGCAGCTGTCACTAAAAACTTTTTTTTTTTTCCTCCCCAGAACCAACGAGAGGAACCAGCATGTAAACATGTAACTGCCTAACAGGACATAATTGCCTGCCTATTTCCTTATCTACTTTTAATGTCTATTTCCAGAATTAGCAGAAGAAACACACACATTTTAGGTTTTTACTAATTGAAGATGGATTCTTCTTTGCTTGTGAAGGTTGCAGTCTATAATATGGTAACTTTTACCCTGGTAGGAGCAGCTAAGCAATCTTCTGAAGGTCCTGACAGCTTAGGAGCTATTTAAACCATTGGTTCAGGTGCTTTGGCATCCTTTTGCCCGAGATGTTCCGTAAAGTTTGCCATCTTAGTTCAGGGGAAGACGGGGTAAAGTAGGAGTAGGAAGTCTGACAGAACTGGCACCTGTATTTGGTTTGAAAACAGGACTGTTATACCTATGGCTTAGTTTTAAACCTGCCACTTGGCTCTTTCCAACAAATTGGCATGAATAATCTCAAAACACCCCTGAATTTCAGAGTCTCTTTTAACCTCTTCCTTGCCTTAAGAACGCAGAGTAATGCCGTGTGACACTCCAGTGGAGTATGTATGTGAACTTCCACGAGTGGTGCGTGGCTGCTACAGCCCAGCTGGGAGGTACTGCTGAAGAGAAAAGCTACTTCCTTGGTTTTTTTACATGCTTATCTGCCAGCTGGGCTGCAGCCCTGCCATAAGGCAACACAGCTAGATTTAGCCAGAGTGCAGATGCTTTCTTCCAGAAAAAGCTGGTTCTGAGTGATGTGCTGTTAAGCAATTGAAGGTAACACCAAACAGCAAGAGTTTTAAGCCGGTATCTGAGCAAACCCCAGCACCTACATCCACACAAACTGTACAATAATCCGCTGTTTTCACCCAAAGGAACAAACCAAGAACAGCATAGAAGAAATTTATTAAGATAGCACTATTTATACAAGTTACTCATGCTAGAAAAAAGCATAAATGATACATGTAAACATTTGTTTACAGAATACTTGTTTTCCTTGTAAAGGTGCAAATGATCTTCATATGTAAACACAAGAATGCCGACCTTTAGGGGAAAAGGGGCTCTTTTAAAAAAAGTTTTAATGACCCATTTATTACTGTAGTGTAATTTTTACTATGTTCAAGCACATTAAAATGCTGAGTATGTGAATCAAACTGAAGTTAAAGAACTTAAGATGTCAGCACTGCCTTTTTCAGCTCAAGAATTCAGAGTCCTCTTAACAATCAGGTTTAGTAAGGTCCAAAGTTGTATCAGGTGCTAAAGGTCATTCTTTCATACCAGAGAGAAAATACAGTACTAACATACAGAACCTTTGAGCTGACTGGAGTCAGTTCCTCCTGCCTCTCCTCCCACCCCTGGGTGCCCCCATAGTCACTGTAACATGACAGTCACTCAGTGCCAGCCAAGAGTCCCTCCCCTCCAAACTCTGAGCCTCCTACCTTTCCCTGCTCCAACCACACAGGCAAAGTGCATTAAAAAATCACTCAAAGGGAAGGTACCATCTCATCGCGGTCAGCGTTCTACAACAGGAATTCTGAAGAGGCAGGAGGGCAGCTAAGATGATGCT